CGACATGTTTTGTCAAATAATTAAATTGACATTGTTGTTAAACTTATCGAGGGAAATTTTTCCATTAAAGCTATAAATTGTAAAAAACTCCAACCAAAAAGTTGACATAAGTGGGGATTGAACCGCTGACCTGCCGAATACAGAACAACTACAACTCCACTACGTTAATCAGCTTCTATAGATACATTTTAACCCGTGGCCATTATTATAAAACCTGTATTTACTTCGTAATTTTCAGAATACTCGTACATTTTTTCATGATTTTCGAAATTCTCGGGGGGCCGGGGCCTCCCTTAGGCCCTGTGTAGCTCCGCCCCTGCTCCCGAGCTTGCAGTTGATGAACAGGTGGTCAATGGTTTCCTCCTTGCAGCAGCATAAACTACAGCGATTGGCAATTTGCCAACCCCTTTTCTGGATGTTATCTTGAGTTAGCACCCGCTTATGAGCCAACGTCCACATAAAAGCATTTATCTTCGAAGGGATGCACCTCCTCCAAACGGAAACGCTTGGGAAGTTAATACCCACATTTGGTATACTTCCCATTCTAATACCTAAAACTTCCATTTGCTTAACCAAATATTTTGATCTATATATTTTTAGTATAAAATACCTTCTAAAATTTGAAAAAACAAGTATAGTTGTTTTGAGTACCTAAATAATTCAGGAATACATTCAATCTCAAATCCACGAGTCCGTGAATTAATGTAATCCACAAACTCACAAACCCAATACATTTGCGAGATGGTCGCATACGTATTGTAGGTATGCTTCTTACTATTCCCCTTTTGGTCTTTCAAGCTTTAGGGGTCGTTTGCTTCAAGGATTTGCAAATGAGGGTTTTGTAATTTAAAAACCCAAGGATTTATCAAGGATTTGAGGCATCATGGATTTGTAACAATCCTTTGTTTGTTGGGATGTTTTTATCATGGATTTAAAGGTGTGGGATTTACTACTTGAAGTAAAAAATTACATTACTGCCCTTTTCTATATGTTTGACATGTTTATGATATGTACACAAAACAAGGACAAAACTTCAAAATTACCTTACTATCATTTTCTATATGTTTGACATGTTTATGATATGTACACAAAACAAGGACAATACATACTAATAAGCATAATGTTGCCACATGGACAATAATAATAAACGAGAAAATTCTGTTTTAACTTTTAACGTAACATAATCAATTACCAATTCTTTGTCCTCCTTTTCAAAAGTAACATATAACAACATATATTAGAATCGGGAGAACAAAGAATTACACGTTTCATGAAAAGGTCAAAGAAAACTATAACACAAGAAATGATATAAAAAATATAACTCATATTTGCACATTAATTGAACGTTTATATTATTCATTTATTGTTAATTATAATGTATAATAGTTAAATTTGAGGGCAACCTTGGAATATTAAAAGTGCATGAGGGTATATGGGTAAAATCTCATCAAGGATTTATGCCATATTCCAAATCCCACATCAATATGTGGGATTTATAAGTCCGTGGGGTCCACGGATTTGAACCCTTAAAATCCGTGGGCCCCACGGATTTGGTCTCCAAAAAATGTGCAAGCAAACAACGGATTGTACCTAAATCCTTGATAGTTGGTTTTTTGGTACCAAATCCATGTACCAAATCCTTGAAGCAAACGACCCCTTATATGTACCAGCTCTTGTGATGCTAAGAACTTTTCCCCCCTTTAGTGATGTATGCTAATATATAAAGTTTTAAGTTCTAATTGACCAACATGAATAATTAGTGTTAAATACACTATGATACCATACATCTAATAAGCACATGCATCATTTCTCCCATAAATCGAAGAAAAAAACACGTATGAATCATCTCACAACGTTAATATCGAACCTGATTAAACATTTTCCTTAACAAAAAAACATTTAATTCTAACTAGTGTCTAGTGCTCTATAATTAACATTGCAATCAATTAGTGCTGTATTGACACAGCACTAACCTCTTCTTCCTCCTGAACTTCCACATCTCCTTTTGGGTTGAACCGATGATGGCGCAGCTGCTGCCCGCTTCCTCTTCCGGCTCTTGGAATGTGACGGTTCAACCAAGCTGCTATGGGCCACAACACTATCAGTGGTACCATCCTCGTCACTAAAAAAACCCACACGGTCATAGGTTGGAACCGGGATCGGGGTCGGCCAGAACCTGACCTCCGGCTGAAACACATTCCACCGGAACGTCGACTCCACCGGTAAACCGCCGCAAAGCTCGAGCTCCTCGCTCTTCAAGTTGCACGAAACCGCGTAACAGGCACCGAAATTGCCATACGCCAAGTACACAATCTCTGGCTTCGATGGGTGGATACCCAATATCCCCTTTACCTCCAAACCATTCATCAACCCTCTCCTACTCGTCTTCTTTGGAAATTCGAATCGCGCCCATATCGATTTCAACGACACCCGATTCTCCAGCTGCCAAGTCTTACTATCGTCTAGGCTCCAGACGCTCAATCCATCGATGGAAAAATCATCCTCCGCGGCGTCTTCCAGCACAATCAGATGCAGAGCACCCTGTGAGACCTCAATGTCGAGTAGACTGACCAATTGGGGGGAACGCGAATAGAATTCGGAGTAGTAATCGATGGTTTCTGGTTCTCCATTGATGTCGAACGGATCGTAACCGACCAATTCACGCGAATCCTCGCACTTCCAGTAGAGTTTCCCGTTGAAGCAGGGCAGAGTAATGTGGTAGCCAGGGGTTACATAATGTTCATACCCAACTTCGAAATTGTCGACCCGGTCCACCCACCGGCCCAATTCGGAGCAGAACACTTCGCACCGGTAATCGCCGCCGGTTTTGTACAAGAGGACGACCCTGAATTTGAATTGGGAGTCGATCAAGACCTGGTCTTTGAAATCACAGTAGCTGTAGCAGGGCTGGCAAACGAAACCCACCATGATTCTGTCGTCGCTGTGGAGCGGTTCGGTTCGACCGGTGTAGGGGGCCAGCGGGAGGATGACCCATTGGTTCGTGAAAGGGTTGCCGACGTAGAACAAATTCCCGACGGCGACGTCGTGCGTCGCTAGCCCACAGAGGATTAGGTCGTCGCAGGACGCCAGGACGCGGAATTGGTGGCGGTAGTCGGCTGGGATCGGGAGGAAATCGAGGGTTTCCGGCTGAGATTGCGGGAAGACGAGGGGGAATTCGTCTTCGCCGCCGCGAGTTGCTATGCGGCGGAGGAATTCGGGGCGGAAGGGAGGAGCGGAGATGAGGGAATTCCACCGCTTGCAGACGGATCGGCAGCGGAATACGGATCTAGGGTTTGGGAGGCGGGTTAGGATTTCGAGGATTAGGTCGTCGTCTAGGTTGTTGATGTGGGAAGGAAGCTGTGATTTCTTCGGTGGTCGTCGGGCGGCGGTCGGATGGCGGCGTGCCATGGCGGTGGCGCAGCGGTGATTTTGGGAATTAGATAGGCTGGGAAATTTTTTGGGAAGATTGGTGTGGAGTGTTTGATAATATAAGATCGATTTCGGGAAATCCGATTTGGAGATGGAAAAGGAGGGCAGTGGAAGGAAAGAGTCTCTGCCTCGTCGGACTTCTGGTGGGTTAATATAAGGCGGGAAAATTGTATTAGGAAAGCCGAATCCGTTCTGGACAAGGAAAAGGATGAAGTTGCTTATGCTTACTCTGTTGGGTCTAGCTAGGGTGTCTATAGTCTATACTCTCAGTCTCCGTTATATTTGTATATAATTAGATTTGTTTGTTTTTCTTTATTTTAAGTGGGTTAGATATAAAGGCTAGATTAAAATAATTTTAATTTTCTTATTTTTACATTGATTTGTATCTTTTTTGTTTCAATTCGAATATGTTTTAAAAAAATTGCACTACGGAACGGGTCATCTTGATCTACAAATTTATAACCATTTTTTATATATTTCGAAATATATTTTTCACACCCTCCATAACCACTTGTTGCCACTCTAGTATCGCTTTGTACCACCTTAGTTGTTTAACTATAATAAAATTTGTATAGAAGGAATTGTGATCTATAAATTTATAGAAAAATTTTCCAGGAAAAAATATACTACCCCAGTCCCCAGTGGTGGATGGTAGTTAATGATGGTTAGTCTATTCTCATAATTATGTATGCAAATTTTCCAGTATGATATACTGAAATTACTATAATACACTTCCACACTACCATGATATAATTGTATATAGGTTAAATACACTTGTATATCCAAAACTTTCACGGTTGTGCCAATAATATTAAAATTTCCCGAAATACCACTTATATCCAATTCCTTCACATTCGTTAACGGTGTTTTTTTATATACAAATGTATTTAACCAAAAATATATTGAGAAATGGATAGATTTGGCAAAGAACAACTTTAAAACATGAATATAAGTGATATTTCGGAAAATTTGGATATTATTGGCACAACAGTGAAAGTTTTGGAGATACAAGTGTATTAAACCTTGTATATACTACTAAATATTAACATTATGATATAGACTAGTAATATATGTCTAACAAAAATATTCTCCAAACATATCAAAGTCGGTTTCATTTTGAGTATCACGATTAATCTGAGTTCTAGTATAAGAAAGTTTCAATTTCAATTTCAATTTCAATTTAAAGCGAAAGAAATATAATCCATTAAATTAAATTGAAGAAAAGTAATATATAATCAGTAACCTAATTACTACTGACTAAGATCCGCTCGTTAACATGAGAAAATTTGACTCTAACGTTGTGAAAACAATACTCAGTCCCTTCCTTAAAACAAATTCTAAATTAATTTGTTGGTACCAAACTACCAATACAAAATCTAAACATGCACAGACCACAGCTATCAATAGTTTCATGATATATAGGAATATAGGATACCACTAGAAACCAAGATGTACAATATTAGTAGCTTTCCACAGATTAATTATAATGAGTATCTTTAATGATACATCAGTGTCTTCAAGACATTCAAAAATTTCCAATTCAGTAACAAAATATTATTATTATCATCCAATAAAAATCTAATCAACTAAAATACCTTTCTACGAGAAATTGAACCATTCATCTCACAAAATGAAAGTGCAAGTATCCAAACTTTCTTTTTATAAAAAAAAAAAAAAAAAGTTCAAAAAGCACTCTCGTCCTTGCGCTCCTATCATCAGCGGCAGATCAATTAAACATCACTTATCATTCAGCAGATCAAAGCCATATCCCTACATCTGATTCTTCCTCCCTCAAATGAAGTCTCCTAAGCAGCCACTTCTTCCTTATTAGTCTCCCATCCCCAATTCCAGAAACGCCATCGCCCTCTTATCATCACCTTCAAGAAGATCATCATACGCATCCAACTAAAGCTCATCCATCTCCTCTGGCCGCTCTTCTTCGATGGTGGTGGAACTAGTGGTTCAACCATGCTGCTATGAGCCACAACATGACTACCTGTACCATCATCGTTAGAAAACTCCACACGGTCATAAGTTGGAACCGGGACCGGAGTAGGCCAGAAAGTGACCCCCGGCTGGAAAACATTCCAACAGAACCTCGATTCTATGGGCGAATCGCCACAAAGCTCGAGCTCTCCACTGTTCAAGTTGCAGGACACAGCATAACAAGCACCGAAATTGGCATAAGCTAAGTAGACTATCTCGGGCTTGGATGGGTGCATACCCAATGTCCCCTTTACCTCCAGACTACTCATCAATCCTCCCCTACTATTCTTTTGTAACTTGAATCTCCCCCACATCGATTTCAACAACATTCGATTCTTCATCTCCCAATTACCCTTATCTCCTAATCTCCAAACACTCAAACCATCTACGCAACTAGCATCATCGACGGTGTGCTCTGCCACAATCAGATGCAGAGAGCCCTTGGAAACCCCAATGTCGACTCCACAGACCAATTGTGTGGGATGTGAATTCAGCAACCCAGAGTAATCGATGAATTCCGGTACTCCATCGATGTCAAATGGATCGTAACCAACCAATTGATGCGAATCAATGGCCTTCCAGTAGATCTTCCCGTTCAAGGAAGGCAAGGTGATATGGTTCTCAGAGGTTACAAAATGCTCAATCCCTTCTTGGATAGTGTCAAACCGTTCAACCCACTGTCCCGATTCGGAACAGAACACCTCACACGAGTAAGTACCTTCGACTACGTACAAGAGAACTACCCTGAACTTGAACTGGGAATCGATCAATACCCGATCTTTGAAGCCGCAGTAGGTGTAGCAGGGCTGGCAGACGAAACCCACCATGATCCTCTGGCGCTGGAGCACTTCTTCTCGATCTTCAATTGAGGCCACTGGGAGGTTCACCCATTGGTTTGTGAAAGGGTTGCAGACGAAGAGCCAACTCCCGGCACTCTCATGCCACTTCGTTGCCAGTCCGCAGAGGATCAGGTCATCGCAGGATGCCAGGACGCGGAAGTGCTCGCGGTAGTCTTCTGTGATGGGGAGGAACCCCATGGTTTCCCGGTGGGATTGCGGAAAGAGGAGGGGGAATTCGTCATCGCTGCCGTGAGCTGCTATGTGGCGGAGGAAATTGGGGAGGAAGTAGGGAGTGGAGATGAGGGAATTCCACCGCTTGCAGACGGATTTGCAGCGGAAGACGGATCTAGGATTTGGGAGCCGGGTTAGGATTGCCAAGATCAGATTGTCGTCGAGGCTGCTAATGTCGGCAGAAGAGAGCTGCCGAGATTTTGATCTCGGCTGTGGTCGGAGAGCGATAGTGAAGGGAAAGAAGCGGGGTGCCATGGCGGCGGGTTTGAGAATGGATGGCTATGGAACTTCTGGAAATTGGGAGCTCGAGTGTTAAATCCAGGAGAAAACCCTAAGTCGAAGTGGGAAAAAGAATATAGATAATTAATGATTCTCTGAGGCTTTGCAGAATCTGTTGAAGTTGAGGCGGAAAATCTTGAGGGTTGTTACTTGTTAGTTGCTAGCGCCTGTGATCTTAAAAAAATCAATTTCGGAAGAGAAAAAGATATTCGGTGAAAAACAAGTTTGAAAAAACAATTCCCCAGTGAACGTAGACATAGAATTAGTGTCGGTTATGATATGGTTGCTAATAAAAATTATCATTGAATTAACTATTAATTTGTATATGTATCTATTTAAATAATTATAAATTATCAAAATAAAACTATGGATAATATTAAAATCCTAGATAAACATTGCATTAAGTTATGGATACCTACTTTTTAATTATGTTAATACTTAATAGTGATACAAATTAGTAAAATAGGTAGAGTAGTGCATATATAATTATATTAATTATAAATTATCAAAATTATTTATTAATTATAGAGATTGTATAAAATTACGGATGAATAATTTTTTATATTGAATAGTGATAAAATACTAAATTAGTTAGATTGGTTAAACATTTCACATAGTATTAATTACACGATAAATTAGATCATCCTTAAACTATGTTTTATCATCCTAACAATACTATATGGAGGTTCTTGGCCGGAACCCCTTTAATCCCTCTTTTCCTGCTCTCTCCGCAATTCACTGAAGGTGACTTTCGTAAATATATCTGTGTAATTATTGACCGAACTGGGCCAGACCCATTATTCTTTTCATTGCAAACTTGGGACCGGAAAAAATTGAAGGGACACCGAGAGAATTGAGCTGCAGAATTCTTTTGGAAGACAACAACAGCACTTGTGCGGCACAAAGTAGAAGCTAATTATATGAGCACCAATAATTATATGCGTTAAATCACCACTGTTGTTTTAGCAAATGAAATTAACAAAATAATTTATTTAGCCATAGAGAACAGAAAAGGGTTTAATTTATGTGGCCCAACTTCTTCAAAGTATTGTGCTTGTTAATGCAATTTAAATTTATATTATAACGTTAAAAATACAAGTTTATTTTGTATTATAAAATAATTTGTACAAAATGTATAGGTGCAAATTTTACCATAACGTTAAAGATTCTACGTTCAGTTTGTATCATAAATGAATTTGCACTAATACTTTAACGTTATGGTAAAATAAATTATGATACAAAGTGCAAATTCATTTATGATACAAACTGAACGTAGAATCTTTAACGTTATGGTAAAATTTGCACCTATACATTTTTTACAAATTACTTTATAATACAAAATAAACTTGTATTTTTAACGTTATAATATAAATTTAAATTGCATTAACAAACACAATACTTTGAGTGTATAAAAAGAGCTCGAGTCAAATCTTGACCACGACAATACTTTCGTTCGACCAGATAAGATTGTTTGGAGAGGAATAAATCTTTGACGAGCTCAAAACTGCTTGCAAGTCACATGTTGTTGTGCAAAGGAGAGATGTGAAGTTTTCCACCAACGACAAGAAGCGTTGCATCTGTGTGTGCTCACAGGACCGCAGGTTCAACCTGTATGCTGCAAAGCTAAGAGATTGTGACACTGTGAAAAGCAGGACTGGGAGTCTGGAGCATATGTGTGGAGTTGATGAAGACATACAAGCTGCGGCACCATCATTCCTTGCCAAAAAGTACCTAACTCGGTTTAAGGCGGATCCATCGTGGTCAATACCAAGCAGTTGACTTTAAAATTGGTTCATGGCGAGGATAGCCTCCAGTTTGGGAAGCTTTATGCTTACAAGAAGGAGTTGGAGGTAAGATATCCTGGCACTACAGTGGTTATAGAACATGCTGAGAATGTTTTCCAAAGTATCTACATATGTTTGGGTCCAATCAAAGAAGGGTTCAAAGCTGGATGGCGGAAGGTGGTTGGTGTGGATGGGAGTTTCCTTAAAGCTATGCATGGATGGAAAATTCTATCGGTTGTTGGTATCGATGGTGATGACTGCATGTACCCAAATGCATGGGCAATAGTAGAGAAAGAATGTCATGATACATGGGAATGGTTCATGGCACATTTGGGACAGGACTTACAGATAGATGACTCACCAAATTGGACTTTAATGTGTGATAGGCAAAAAGGTAAATTTCTATCTACTACTCTGAGTATGTGTATGTACTGTAATTGCTTGTTTAATAGCTATATGTTAGAGTTTGTGGCCCAGCTTCTTTTGTTGTCTTTCCTAGGGGTGGCTATACGGTCCGGTCCGGTTAAATTGGCCCAAATTGATCCGGTCCAGTCCGGTTTTTTTGAAAATATAAGGACCGAAGATTGGATTGGATACAGTCCGGTCTTGATCCGGTCCGGTCTTGACCCAGTCTGGTCCCAATTCGGTCTTGAATTTATATTGAGATTGTGGGAATTTGAGTGGCCTAAGGCCTAAAAGGGTGAGGAGTTGGTTAAGTTTTGTACTAAGTGCAAAGGTTTGTGACCGTTTATGCAAATTACCCTTAAGTTTTGGGTGTTGAGCTCTCTTATCCGGTCTTTATCCGGTTTTTTACCTCAAATCTAAGCCCAAAGATTGGATTGGATTGTTTACGATCCGGTCCCGGTCCGATCTCGGTCCGGGTTATACGGTCCGGTTTCCGGTTTTTCATCCGGTCCCGATCCAAATAGCCAGCCCTAGTCTTTCCTAATTCATGTGGGGAAATTTGAAGAAAAGAAGTATTATCCGTCCTGAATATATCTTGTGCAAAGCAAGCAAAAGAAAACAGTATATATCTAAGGATTGCTATGGACATTGTAATTGCTTGGTTCTTACTGTACAATATGATATGTGATATCTATTTTATCTTGCTTGCTTTTTGGATGCTAGGGTTTGATGAATGTGATGAACTCTATGTACCCAAATGTCGAGCATCGTTACTGTGTCTGTCATATGTTCGTGAACTTTAGTGGCAAGTTCACTACGTCCAAGAGGCTTGGGATAATGGCATCCCTTATCAACATGCCATTGCATGCATGAAGCTGAACAACGATTCTCCGGAGCGGTATATGGATGATTGTTACCGTGTTGACACATGCAAGAAAGCATACTTTTTTGTTGTCCGCCTTCTCAATGATTCCAGTCAATGGATTCATGATGACTGCATTGAGCTTGAATTGCCTATATTTTAAGAGAAGAAGAGGGGTCCTAAATAGGAAAAGAGGTGTCAGGAAGCATGGGAGGTGGAGAAAGCAAAGAAAGATAAGTGGGGAAGAGCATACAAAGTTATGTCTAAAGGTGGAAGCGAGACGACATGCACAATATGCCACGAGAGAGGACACAATAGCCGATTCCATGACAAGGTGAGAATCTGCCCATGTTTTCTTTAACATTAAATTTCCAAAATCTGTTTATGGTTAATGGAAATGATGCTGCCATATTGACATCATTATTTTTTTTCAGAATTCTGGCGGTGACGATGCAGCAGGTCCATCGACAACATCTCCTCAACACATGGAAGCCTCTCCTCCACACATGGGAGGCTCTCCAGTAGCTGCATCTCTTCAAGATGACGAGCGTGTCGAGGGATCAACCTTCATGCCTACTCTAGCATTTATACCACCATCTCAGACCCCGCTTAGGACGAAGGTCAGAGTTCGAAGGGGTCATGGAAGGGGTCGTGGCAGGCATAACCAGTAGTTGAAGAACCAGTAGACATGAAACTTTTGTAAGAGCTTATTAGATCAACTTTTGTGAAAACTTTTTTGTGACATGTCGATTGCTTGTTGAACCTTCCATGACGAGCCAACCCATGTCAAGTAGGATCTAATCAGATTGATTAATGTAATCTACAATATGGATGTTTAAAGATGTCGATTGCTTGTTTAAAGTTGCATGTTTGATGTTGTTTTTTTGCTCAGGTTTTAGTGTCCACTATGCTAAAGTCACCCTTTACTGCAGTCTCTGTATGCAATAGCTATGTGACCATTTTGTTACAATCACCAAAACATTGTGATCATTTTCTTTCAATGGCCAAAACATTGTGACCGCTTTGTCTATTAGTGATAATTTTATGACCATGTTCTTATCGATAATGAAGATATATGACCATGAAAGATAACGTTGCAAACTTAGTTCGAACAAAACAAAAACAAAATTACAGCATGATTTCATGTTCTACACTACACATATCTACCAATAACGATTCCTACAATCACACAAACGACTACATAAACTAGATTAATTATCTGTGCAAACTATCTTCACTTTGGTTACCCCTTCTAGATTGTCCATTGTTGCGTGCAGTCAATGAAAACGAATTCGTGTCATTCAGCATGCTATCTTCCCTTGATCTTCTTTCCATGTTGTTAAGCTTCTTCAACAACCCATTTATGACAGCTCTAGCCCTATCTTCAACTGGAGGGTCGACTCATTCAAAGAAATCGCAGTGGTAAGGTAATTTCTTGATAAAATGAAAGAGAAGAGAATGGTTACCAAATCTTCATCTGGTGAACACAGAAATCAGAATCAAATTCAACATCCTTACCAAGTAATTTCTCTTACAGCGGAGGAACCTTCTACGCAGATTATCTTCCGTTTATGATGTTAGCAAAACAATTTTGTCTTGACACTTGCAAGTAGGCAGGGAACCCATTTTGGTTGGGGGCTTCTTTTCCTTGAGATGATTTTGATTTGGGATTTTAGGGTTTCTTCGTTCAAAGGAAGGGGAAACAGAAGCAAGGTAATTAATGAAGGTGAAGGTTTCTATTCTTATAGCATGTGCATATCAAGCCATGAGGTGATGGGTAAAAGATGGTTTCGAGTGGTTGGAGAGTAGGCTGACTAACTTATTTTTTTAATTATTATTTACAATGATGTGGCAATCTGGATCGGAGTTTTAGACGGAATTGGACGGATTAACCATTTCGTTATTAGCTCAAACTTTTTTTACCAAAACATACAAAATTAAAAAATTATGACCATTTTGTACAAAATTAATAGAATTATGACCATTTATGTTAATTTCCCCTATTATATCTCTAATCTCTCCATCATTTATGACCCAAAATTGTAACATACAATACAAATATCATTACTAACTGCAACTTGGATGTGGGCCTACAACAACCCATATCCAAGCCTGAACAAAACGGCCCATATATACTTTTCTAATTTTACAAACTTGGGCTTTTCTTTATTCTTTCACCAAGCCCATCTCCACTACTCAACCTTCACCTCTTTCACATCATTCCTGTTCTTCTCGTCGCCGGTCACCTTGGGAATGACCACCTTCAGCACTCCGTTCTTCATCTCCCCCGTTATCTCATCAACTCTATACCCACTCGCCGGCAAATTCAACCTCGTGTAATACTTTCTCCCCTCGTAATTCCGCCCTTCCCCTTTCGTCGACGATGATTCTTCGACTTCCCCTCTGATCACCAGCGTGTTGTCGTTCTCCACGTACACCTTCACATCCTCCTTTCCCAACCCAGGCATCTCCATGGTTAGGTAGATGTTCTTCTCATCCTCCCTCACCTGCCTTCCACCGCCGGTGGTTGCCGCCGTGGCGAAGAAAGGGTCCGTCAAGTGGTTCATTAGGTCCAGCATCTGGGCTATTGTCCTTATTGGCGAAAACGGATCCACCATATCTGTGCACAATACCGGATGTCAAAGCTTGTGAAGCAAATCGAACAAGAAACGGATAGAAACGGTAACTAATTAAATTAATGGGAGTTTTAATTTTGTTGTACCTCCGAGGAAGAAGCCAGCTGGAGCAGAGTCTCGCCGGGGAGCAAGTCCACCTGAAGGGTTGGAGGAGGAGTCTTCGTTGCGGCGGGTGGGGGCGTTGTCGACCTGAACGGTGTCGTTTTCATCTCCGGCGTACCCAGGTGTTCCGGTGTTGAAGGAGCGGGTACAACCAGCGATGACAGTCGATGGAGATGAGCGGCCGGCAGTGAGCTTCCGGAAGAACCCGGCCGGGGAAGCGGTCGCTTTTCTAAGAGCTATGAGGGATGCCATGTATGGATTTTGTGCTTTGGTGGAACTTGGAAGGGAACAATCTGTTGTTGAGGAGTTTGACATTTAAGAACAGTGTACCGAATGCAAAAAAGAGTGTTCCAGAGAAGCGGTGGGAAACTGATAAGAACTAAGAAGCATCCAATCCCTTCCAATATGTAAAATAATTATACCAAAATTGTAGTCACATTGATAATGCAGATAGTAACAAACCGTAACATAATCGTGCCCATTCCAATTTTATCGGATGTTCTAACATTACCACAATAGTGACGAATGTGGAGAATATCACCAGAATAGTGAGGACTTAGGGACGAATGTGTAAAGATTATTCGAAGCTTCTTAGTATCAACATTACCACAATAGTGAGGGTCTAATATAGAATTCTCCAGAAAGAAAAAAGGATTAGAAAAGAAAAGGAAAAAGAAGACTCTTTAAGTTACAAAAAAACAAATGCATGTCAATCTGAAGAACGCCAAACACCAAATAGCCTGACCTAAGAAAAAACACAAGATTCTTTTGGCTAATAACAGATCCAGTTTAACTAACAAATGGAACCTTAAGAACTCTGTTCATTGGAGTCTTTCTCTCTTTTCGGTTACCCCCTTCATTCTTTGAATGCGGTATGAGAGAGGGGAATGATGATGTTGAAGACATGACAGAATGATTTTATGTTCAGGGAAGGATGGATGATCTTCTGCTGCGGGTTTACGTCTTCTTCAACAGGTATCCCAACAACATCCCCAGTAATGCCACAATGACGACGAACATAAATGACACTCCACCGCGGCTTTTGCTTCCCTCACGCCTCATCATTTCCTGCAATCAGAAGATCCCCTTTTGGCATAAGAAGAATTCTTCCAAGAACTCGGTAGAGACGTAAATCTTGATTCCCTTTGAGACCTCAGGCAACATTTTCTAAGCAATGAAGCACAACACAATTCATCCACTAAAACCGATTTACTTTGACATTTCTAAACAACTGAATGATATATATCTCATGGCCTTCGAGTGAACCCTGTCCTCTGGCTTAAATCTTAGCAAAAAATAATCAATCATGAAAACCTCCCTTGTGATGGCATTTAAACATTCACAACCATACTGTGAGCAGCTACCCGACAAGACGCCAGGACATTAGTTAATTCTGTGGTCCACAGTACTACCATATCTGACCTAACAGGGGTGTGCCTTTAATCCAGAGAGAAGAAACCAGAAGGTATTTATCATTTTGTGACTTCCCCCCTTCTTGTGACTTCCCCCTTATCTACTGGTTGGACCCTTAATGTTATGGCACTTGACAATTGCATAGGGAGAAGTGACAACTCTCGAGGCATCTCACCGAGATAGAAATGTGAACATCATGCATCATGATACTTGAAACCCTAATTCCCCCTTATGTGCACTGACAAATAAAGACCATCAAAAAGAGGAACGGAATGATCAACTTACTAATTCCTGACGAAGCTTGTTGTTCTGCTGAATGGCATTGTTCTTTTCCTCAGTCAGCTTTGAAATAAGGGATTTTGCCTGCCATGAAATCAATATAAGCAGGGCTTGTAACAAAAAACTGTTTGACCAAGTGCCAGGATTAAACGACCAAGATGCTTGCCGCAACTTATCAATACAAAATGAACCAAAAACCATAAAGATGCGGACAGGAGTGGGATTGCTGATATAGCAACGTGTTCTCGGTGTGGATATACAGGTATAATTAGAGGGGGGAAAAGCAATAAAGAGCTTCTGCCAGTACATATATCATGCATTAGCAGCAAGTCGCAAAGAATTCTTTATCAAACAACATATCAAAGAGGTAAAAACGCAAATACCAATCCCTGCCCTCTATGAATAGCGACAGAAAGAGAAATCACGGAATGAGGGGTGGAGCAGAACTTGAAACTGCGTCAAACAATTTGAGAGAACCATGATCTAGACAGACAAGCACGAGAGCCATTCTACTACTACTACAGAAGTCAAAGATGTACGCCAATTTAGGCCTCCAGAACATCATAACGCAGTTTTCACAGTGTTAAATCACTACCATTAAACTGCCTTAGAGAAGTAACAAGTGCAGCAACAACCAATGGAATAGACAGCAGTGGGGGTTGAAGAATGCAGCAGAAAGCGTGAAAGATAGAGTCTGGCACAGGTAATAAGCTAAAAATACCATTTTAAATGTTTATAGTAAAAAAATTATTACAGTTTGTCAAAACCTTTGCACACATCTCTTTTGCTCTCATTACCAGCCATGTCACATTGATAAAAGCGCAACAAAAAGAAATACATTTCAGATCGTGTTGCCCATTTCTTCACCAGTTGTCAACATGTGGCATGGCATAGTAATCAGAATCATGCATCGACTCTACGGATGCATAATATAACAAAATATGTAAACCATAAGATTTAACTAGAAATTTCTTCCCCTATTCAGAAACCACCAACTTCTTAAAGTCCTTACTATACAACCTATCCCAAACACAGATTCCAAATATCTACCCAAACAAAAGATTAACCATTGGATATTCACACACAAATACAGGAAAGCCTACAGGACAAATTATCCTCCATGAGATACAGCTTGAATACAGATTCGAACTTTTACCTCAGGAGACTTCTCATCCGAATCAAATCGCTGAACGAATGCTTTTGAAGCCTGCAACCACGAATCATGAGGCCCAGATGTTCAGCACAAGATAGCACAAATGACATGACCAAAACTAGAAGTACTATCAATAGGAATAGCAAGTACTCACAGCAGCAAACTCAGCACCGTTTACATGTCCATTGTCAGACACGGAACCGCGTGGTGAAGACCCTTCCTCTGAGCCTTCAGGAACAGGAGAAGGCGGTTGAGGTGGAGCTACATATACAACCTTCAACTTGGTTTCCTCAACCTGGTGCCCTGCCTCCTTGTTGAACTACAGAATCCCAAAGTATCCATGATCAATAGCGCCACAAACAAGAATTCTACACAACCAGCAGAACATAAACACAGTAGCAGCAATATAAAAGTTGTACCATCTCGGCAGTGATATCCTTTGCAGCCGAACCATCGGGAGCTTTTACGCTCTGGAGCAAAAACTTGTCCTTACACTGCATGTCAGCAGGAGCCTCCTTTTGCGCTTGCATCGTAACTGAAAGCAACACGTAGGCATGCCATAAGCAAAGTCGCCCCCAATCACCAACCCACGCCATAAATCCTACCAACAATACTCAGCAACCCACAATCGAATACCACGGAGATTACCTATAATGTCACATGTTGATCGAGGCAAAACGACCCCTGCATTCGGCCGAACGCAGTACTTCTTCGGATTAGTTGTTTTGACCTAGATGCAACGATAATCAGTTAATCACCATCTTTTTTTTTTTTTTTTGTAGAAAAATCACCATTATCTAGCACCTTAAGAGATCCCAAAAAAAAAAACAGCTGACTGGACAAACAAAGAATCGCATATCTACATTCTGCTTTTGAAAAGAGATTTCGAGCTGCTTGGACTTGAATTGCCGCAAAAGGGAAATGGAGCAGAAAGAAAACAAACACAAACAAAAAAAAAAGTACAAGAACTCAAAAGAGAAAGATAGATTCAGAAACTCCATTTTCTCTCCCAAGCAGCCAAACAGAAGTGCCACATCACGAAAACGACCAGAATTCGATCTCCCACCGGACGGACAGAAATTGAAAAGAAATTCGAAATCGAAACAAGGGGAAAAAATCGCGGGGAGAAGGACGAAAGAAGATTTGAGGAAGAAATCATCTCACCTTGAAAGCCACATAACTATCGGTTTTGTTGGATAACTGAAGCGAACATGAGATCTGCTTCTTCAATTCAACTGATTCCACAAACAGAAAAAACAACAGAGGTGTGAGGGTCAGGAACGAAGAACCGGCAGAGGTGAACATCGCAAAAGGAATCAACAGAGAGAGATCTGCGGGCGCGGAACTGACATGGAAATTTGAGCTCTAGAGGTTCGATGCTGAGGAGCTCTCCCGTGCTCATTTTCGCTCGGTCCTTGGTCTTTCTTCGTTTGTTCCTCCTCCCTTTACCTGAAATTCGTAGGAGAAGTTTTATTCTCGGGGTGGAATTTCGGGGAAAAGGAAAAACCAGGAGAAGAAGAGAAGAAGGAGAGAAGATCCGGAAATATATGGGAAGAGAGAGAGAGGAATCTGTTTTTGGAAAATATTGTTTTCCGGTGGGAGAGAATTTTAAATGAGCGGAGAGATCGAGAGAGAGAAAAAAAGGAGGGGTGTTTGTGTCTTTTACTACTGTTCCAATTTCTCTCTCTACGGACGGGAAACGGTGGCAGGCAGGCAGGCAGGCAAACATGAATTGCAAGTTTGCAACTCGATAATGGAGGTTTCTGCGCTGCCGTGGCCCTCTTGTTTTTGTTTTTTTTTCTCTCCGATGATGATACAATCATACGAGCTTGTATCCATACGTAAAACGGTATCGTATTAGTGGTCCGATAGAGAAGAATTTTATCGAAATTTATATTGGTAGATGGTTTTTAATGGGTATATCATAATTAAACCATAATTTCAATATAAAATACCTTAATGTTGATTTTTCCGGAACAACCTCCGGTACGATGTTATAATTCATGGTATTTGTGTATCAATATTGTTCCATTATCTCATTGCCATAAAAAAAAAAAAATAGTTTACTTTACAAGATGGACTACCGTCCAAATACTGCAGTGCGCCACGTTTGTATTTTCTTTTCTTTTGAGCCGATTGTTGAAACTCATATTTCATTTCCTTCTTACGATCGTTTTGAGGTTTATGGTATGTGAACTGTCAAGAACGTTCATTTTCTAATGAAAGAATGTTTATGGAGTTTGTATTGATTGAATTGCTATATGATTAGATGAATGTTTTTACATAGGACCAAACTGTCTCGATGTATGGGTAGGAAGTGGAAATCTCTCATCAAACCGGTTCGCCAACAAAAGAATGTAGATTTTACAATAAATTGGGCCATCATTAACACTCATCCTCGAATGAATTGAATTACGTGGATTTAACGGTTAAGAAAATAAGTGGATATGTCGTCGAATTTCTCATATAACTTTATTTATACGAAGACGAAATTAATCGTTCCACTTTCTAGAAAATATCAAAATACATAAAATCTAAAGAAATTAGAAATACAAAAGATTATGATATGTGAGAAATGAGGAAATAGTTAAGGGAGATGTGAGTTTAGACTTTAGATCACCTCTAGATCAACCGGCAATCCATTACTGCTTAAAATTTAGTTACCATAATCACCTTTAAACTTTGAGGTGTTCTTCAGGAAGAAAAAAGTCAAATAATCAAAAGTGTGCACTAATGGGATTTGAATATTCCACAAAGTATGCAGTGCACTAATTGAATTTGAACAGACGGTCCAAGGAGTCATAATCACAATTAACAAATAAATTGGCTATGCTGCTTAAGCAGTTAAGCCTAATCATACTCCCCACGTGTATCAAACATGCCTATTTTTAATTGAGTAACCCCATCATAACCATTGCTTACCAGTAGTGAATCATCATTCAAATATATGTTAAATCTTTTCTAGTTGCGAGAGTTCTCATATTCGACTCGTCGTGGTAATAATATATCTGTCGTTTTATTGAATTTTTTGTTCAATTTTTATGATGTAAGAATGCAATGTTGATGGTATGACTTAATGTGATGTATTTTTTTTTTAAAAAATGAAGGTAGGGTAAAGGAGAAATTCTCCTTTGTCTTTTGAATGAATAAAGGAGGGGGGATTTGGATTCCTTTTTTCCAAATTGTGATTGTATATCATTTGCCACAGCTTTAAGGGAGTTTAAAGAATGGAGTTTATGGTTTGGAAAGTGATGCTTTCCTAAAAAATTTCATTTATCAAAAAGATGCTTTCCTAATTAGTTACAGCTTGTAATTTTAGATGCCATTTCTCTCTCAACAGCCTCTCTCTCTCTTATACCTTTCTTCCCTCTCTGTTAAGCAAACCCATTTGGTAGCACTAATACAACAAACCAACAAATAAAGATCATAATAGCCTTTGATGGTGGCATGACATTGTATATATGCAAAAAACAAAAGAGTGACACAAACTTCAAGCTAGTGCTCTTCTCCAAAGTGCAGCTTTTGTCCAATTTGGGCAAAGGAAGCCACTGTATGGAAAAAGATAGATGGGGGTTGCAGGAAATTATGGGGGCACAAAGATGCTATGTTCTACCAAATGTTGTTGGTGGAATAGGAAAAAACGCCTCCAAATGTCCATAATGGTTATTGAAATTAGTCGGCATCCAACACGTAGCTGATGCATTCATTCATTCTCTGTTTTTACATTGAAGTGAAAATGATGGGGGCAGGAAATTCCAGTTACAGGAGGGGAGGTTCATAAGCTGGAATATCATAATAAATCCGAAACTGGATGGTAAATAAATTATTTAAGATTAGAAATTGGATCTTGATAAACAATTTAAGTTATCGAGATCAATAGTTTGAGTTAGTGGAATTATTGATTTCTAGCACATAGATGATTGTCCGACTGAGCTTTACAAGGCGGTATGGGCAACATTTGATTTGCTTTGTTGGTCACTCTTGATCGACTTAGTATTCAGGATTGTGTGCACGCACGGGGATTCAGGGTGAATCATCTTGTGTATTGTATGTGTGTGGATGGTATGATTGAGGGTTAGAGATCACACTTTTTTTTTGCTAAATGATTGTTGTTTTCATATTTTACTCGAGAGCCTTTTTGTCGCGAATAAATGGCGTGAGTAGGTTTAGGGTGTTGGTGGTATCCCTCCTCCGGCGGATGACAGTTTTATTGCTTTATTGGTTACCCTTAATCAACTTAACGTGTATGAGAGCATATTTGCGGCAATCCTCTTCTTGTCTGTGTGGATGGGATGTTACGATTTAGACTCAAAGTTCTTGTTTTTCTTAACGACGAGTATTTTCTTATTTATTCTAGGGTTATCGACTGATGAACTGTGTGGGTAGGTCTTCATACTATATATTCTCTCGTACCTACTAACTTTCAGCAATATTCACAAAGTTTCAACGAACATATCGATCTTTTGATATAAAACTATCGCACACGCGTTTGTTTGAGAGGAGAAATACAATATGATTTATTGTGATCCTCGATTAGACACATATCGAATAACTAGAAGAGGACGGAGACAAATTTTGCATTACATGTCGCGAGTAGTCTACATATTACACATCAGCTAATGAATTAGAACATTGGTACCAGCTAAGTTCACTTGGGCTTGCAGTTGCAATTGACTTGTGTATACCCTATTTGAATTCACTTATCATGCTTTTGCTGCAAGTCACTTTTGAGAATAGATCATTGTTCACCAAAAAGAAGAAGGAACAGAGAAAAAGAGAGTGAAGTACCAAACCACCCTTGAAGTGCATGGTTTTTGGGAGCAACAATGATAATGACATAATAATTAATCTATGCAGAAGTTGAGGGTTTGATGAATGTGCTGTGAAAGTCCCTTGACTACCTTCTTGGTATCTTCAAGAGCTGTTTCCAAGGCTTCTAGTTTCTGGGCAAAACCCAAAAAAAAAAGGTCACTTCTTTTTGGGAAAACCATTTGAAGAATATTAATTTCACCTTGACCAGGCAGGCAAGTTGTGTTATTATTATGTTATGTTCACATAGATTGACCAATGTTTTTCACTCACTGTGTTGGCTTCCATGAGTGCAGCTTCCAATGCTTGAATCTTTTCAAGCTTCTTAACCACTTCTTCTTGCCTTCTCTGATCGATTTGTCCACTGCCCGGTGTTGCCTGGAAGAAAATAAGGCAGAGATTTTCAGAAATCACTCGAGTAAGGTGAATGTTATCACTCTTATATTATGATCGATTTCTCGACCTAAGAATCTTTACTTACTAAGCCGTCTTCTGAAGCTAAACTCGTGTTATCCGCATCATCGTAGCCTTCTTCAGTTACAGCAAGTACCTAATGACAGATGAGAGAAGGATACAAGTTTTGAGAATGCTTCAACTTGTCATTGTGCAACTAAACTATTGAGGGTAAAAATGTAGGAACTGAGGTGATGAGTAGAAAAAAACCTGAAGCAAGTCCTGAATTTCAGGGTTGTTCCATGGCCCTTTATCACTAAACAAGCAGCCACCATGACCAGAACAGCTGCAGCTTCCTCCCAAAAAGCTTGGCAAGTTGCTGTCTCAGAAAGAAAACACCAAACCCCACCTTTAGGCTTTAACATAAATTGCTAAGAACCCTTTCTAATGTTCATTAAGGCCATCATAATAGGCATAGTTCAGGACTAACCTTGGATCAACAGCTTCAAGAAGTTCACTTTTGTAGCTATCTCCCAACACCTGAACAGAATATTGTTGAGTAAACCAGAGCTTTTTCTTCAAACATACATCTGTTTTTATGGAAATGAAAGTGAGAAAAATGACGTCGATCTTGCCTGAATCTTCTTCAATGTACGGACATCAAGAAATGGCTTCAGTACTTTCCACAACATTCTGAACCCAGATCCAGCATTCACTATGTACAGCCGATGCAAGGTCTGCGTTCAGCAGTGACATGCCAAAGCATTATAAGTCCATCACAAATAAGCATTTAACTGATAAAAGTCAATTGAATTGGAGACCAATGTCAGTTTTTCCGAATAATTCAAGTTGTTGGGAGTTAAAACTAATGCCTCTACAATACTTTTTTTTGTTTAAATAAGTCTATTAATGTAAAGTTGTTAATTAGTATCGTTAAAATATGAATACAAGGGGTCAATAAAACCATAATACAATGTAAAAGTCGAACGAATCTTAATGACTCGAATTATTACGACACATCAAAACAACCAATCCGATATAATTTACTTAATAATAATGAGCAGGATTAATTGATTATTAACCTCTGGATAGTAGTTGCTGTCAATCTTCTGAATCTCCATGAAAAGGTACCTAGCTGGCTTGGAGAAACTGGACATTCCCTTAACCAACATTTACAAAAAGATCCAAAAATAAACAGCATTAAGATCCAATTTTGCAACATGTCACTGTTGAAGTTGAGTCTAGTCTCATATTTCAGAACAAAGTTCATACCACTCCCTTCACATCCAAGATGCTGGTGGTGGAAGCTATGTGAGTCTTGGCTATGATTGAGCAAGCAGGGTACCTCAAATTCATGGTCTTCTCCTGTTCACAAACATGATACTTCACTAGCCTCTCCATTTTGGTCACTTCAAGCAAGGCATCCATGTTCACCATTCCAAGCCTTTCGATGTACACTGGCCTCCCAACTCTGTCCACTCCATGGAACCCATGAGGGTAGCATTTCTTCACCTCCCCAACCTCCTCAAACTTGAACTCCTACATCAAACATCCATCGAACCATATCGTAATTAATATCAAAACATATATACCATACAATAATAGGGTATCTCAAAGGTGAAATATCGGTTGTTTCGACAAAAGTTTGGATCTAGAATACCCAAATTGAAAATCAATATTTTTATCATTCGACGACTGGTACCTGAATAGGATAGACTATGTTTGGTAATTGATGAGTTATGTAAATACTTTTAATTGATCTTTTTTAACTTAGGGTCAATTAGTTATGAATGCACTAGGTTGTTTAGGGGAATTCAGTTTTACCTTTGCAATGGCATCAACCCTATACTCCTCCCTCCACTTGATGTAATTCACAAACATGTCTTTTGCCTTTGGAATATCAAAATCCCTCATCCGAAGAAACCTTAAAAGAAAATACGATCAACCCAAATGAAACCCACCATTTCTATTTAGGTTGCAAAAGTTAGATCAATTGAAAATTTACCGCAAGAGGGTATGATAGTCATTTCCCTTGCCTAGCAAATGACCCTCGAGAAACAGAACTTCCCGGAACTTGTTCACAACTTCTTCATCATTAGGGTCGTGAGCTCCTTCCAATGTCATCTTCAAACTCGTGTTCCTCCCAATTCTCTTGAGCACCGACATCATGCTCGAAATCGACGGTGACGAGGACCGCCTCTCGCTCTTCATTGCAGGGAGGAGGAAGTGGGATTCGATGGGAGGATGGATAATCTTCTTCTTGTTAGCCTTTCCTTTGATAAGGTAAGGAAATTTACTATTGTTCCACCCTGAAATCTCTTGATTGTCTTCAGCACGACCACTACCGCCTTTTGATATGACGATCTCCCTCGATTGGTGCTTTGGCCTAAACATGACCCCTAGCCTCTCCAGCCAAGATCTTCTTCTCTCCTTCTTCTGCTGCTGCTGTCACTAGAGGCTGAGAATGAGACGAGGAAAAGCCATTATTGTTGGAGGAATGAAATTGAAGAAGATGGGAAAAAACCCAACTGGGAAGACTTGAATTCCAAGAGCAAAGGAATCTCTCAAGGCAATGCCTTTGTTCTTGATAAGTGGCTTGCTGGTTTTTCCTTGGAATATGTAGCAGACAAGTAACCTGTTGTACTTGTTGGCGCCAAAGACAATTTTTTTATTGCAAATTGGAATGGCCTGTGCTATATGGGCTGGGGCATGATGGTTGGAAGAAATGGGCCTTTAGTGGCCCACTGTGAGACAAAATGGGCCTTTTGTTGCCTATACGGCCCAATTTGTTTTGGGTGCCCACGACCTATATGTCTATGCAAATTAGGTTATGAAGACCTGCCTTAGGCCTTAGCTAATCCGAGTATCCAAGGGAATATGAAAAAATGGAGACTATCAAGTTTACTGTGAGGGTAAGAAAAGACCTGACGAAGTGAAGGGAATTGACAAATGAGGGTTATTTTACCCTTACTTACTGGGAACTAAATGGGAATATTACCTTAACCTTGGGGTTTGTTAATTGGGTCCGTTGGAGTCTGGCTCCAACCCAATCAATCTTGGAAGTGGGCCTTTTTGTTGGTCCCTTTCTTCGTCTTGGTCCACGTTAGGTGGCGGAAAAGGCTAAAACTTTAAACAGTGGAAAGCAAAGTGTGTGTGGCCAATGAGTCCGAAATCAAAAAGTTTTCCATGGCCATACGACGTTACGTACCAAAGAATTATGGGCACAGCTGGACAACGACTGTAACGCCTTTTTTTCCTGGATATGTGGACCAAATCGAAATGAAGAAAAGTGACCGTACAAAAAAAAAAAAGAAGTCAAATTCCAACAAAAACGGATGTGGTTAATGGTAATTGATCGCGATCAGTTTGGGTTTCTGATTAGGGATCTACCGGATCTGCACTATAAACCAAGTTGAAACCACTTTTAGTTGTTACGATCAACTAGGAGTTGATTTGTAAAGACGGCTGACAATAAAACAGTGTTTTTTTTTATGAAATGAGGAACGACTAAGAATAATTGAAGCTACGATATAAAACTCTTTCAGATCGAACAACTATTTTTTTGGGTTTTCACTCTCCTTCCCACGGACACATTATATTGAGTCTTCTTTGACTCTACACAATCTACAAAAAAAACCGGCACAACATGAGAAGAATTACTAGCTGCTATCCTTCAAAATGACAAAAGTTACTGATGAGTTTACACTGAAAGATGGAAGCACGATAGTAAAATCCTATAAAACTTACAGATAAGAGAGTATTGCAATCAAATTGATCCAAACCAACAAAATGACCAACTAAAAGGATACAGAATATCACTCCAAAGTCCAAAGTCCAACTCCACGCATCCATTACTGGATTTCTGTTGCGGCTACACAAACGTTCCAGCATAGCTAATTAGGGTATCGGAAAATACAAGGATCAATATTAGGTAAAAACAAATAGTTCAGGGACTTTGGCAGTAGACATGCGATAGTTGGGGGACTAGGATGATAATTAAAATATTTATTTAAAGGTTACACGTGTGATAGAGCAGTGGGGCCCACTCGCCAGGGGGGATGAAAACGTGGAGAAGTATCCGGATTCCGGAAGCACACGTACGTATGGCGACTGGCAGGACAGGGCAGGGCCAGCTGTTTCCAGTGCACACAAACAAAACAAAACAAAACACAGCCACCCATACATTTCCACTGCTCACTCTTGGGTTGGGAGTTGTCGAGTTGATAACAATACAATAAAATAAGAAACACGCTTATTTTTGTTCTTTTCCCGCTAAATTCCCTTCATTTTGACGTCACTCCGGGCTTTGTTGCGGCGGCGACGGCGTTTGTGGCCTGTCCTGCTGTGTTACGTGTAATGTTTTGAAGATGACCTAATTATTTCCGGTACATCTTTGTTTTCGATTTATAATTTGAATGTGGTGAGAGTACCCGTCTTTTCCAATATCTATGTATATGATAAATAAGAAAAATTAGAAAAATAATTTGCATTTGCATTTTTTTAATGATTTTTAGGCTGACTAGGCAATGACATGGCGTGTTGACTAACGGTCAACGGAATTGACCGTCCAAAATAACGGTCAAACTATGTGTCGGGCCAATTGAGTCTATATGCTGCATAGTTGAGGCCAGGATGTTAATTTCTGAAACTACAGGCCAAAATTGATTATATGGTCATAGTTCGGGCCAAAATAAGGTATTAACCCTTTCCAATATCTATGTATATGATAATTGTACTTGTACTAATGTATTCTCCACTACTTGAATATATGTAGGGTCCTAGAGAGGATGGAGTTTTTTTTGGGACAAATGTAAGAATCCATTCATTTCAAAGACGATTGTGATACAAGCTAATCCAATTACAACAGTGGGTAAATAATGTGTGGAACTTGAATCAGCTCCCGGTGAAGTGACCCTTTTGCTCCTTCTTTTCAACCCAATCCGTACATTTGTTCTCATTTTTTTGGGCAAAAAGCAAATCTTGGTACCACCATTCGCATGGAGGATTTGCCCCATCCATTGAATCCACCCTATGACTTGCCAAGGTCCAACTTTGTTAATGTTAAGAATCGTCTCGACCAAGACCTTACAGTCAGAGAGGATGGTAGCAGAGATGCCCACAAAAACCACATTATGTATTAAAGTCAGAATAGCCTTAGTTTTCGCAACAATTGTCGACAAACATATCATAGTACCAGCAAAGCCATCCACAACTAGGCCAAGAGGGTTTTTTATTACCACTCCATAAGCCGCCAACTGAGATTCCAAACTGAAAATTCCATCACAGTGAATAACCCAATGGTTAACACAAGGCTGTTGGCTGAGTGTAGGGTGACGGGGAGCATTCTGGTCACGAGAAGTAGTGAGGGGCAATCAATCCCGACTCGTTCATTTAGAGAAAAAACTCACTGCTTAGTGCTTTCAGAGGAGTACCATAAGTTCTAGGATTGACTCCTTTAAACACGCTCTCGTTCCTCACCAGCCAAATTGCCTAGAGACAAGCCACAACAGCCGGAATCGAAATAAGTGAGATACTTTCAGAGATCCTAAGTAACCACTTCATGCGAATAATGGAAGAGACAGTGTCTAATGTTCTTTATCTCCACTTCATAAATGGAGCAAACAGGGGAAGAATTGCATCTTCTAAACCAAAGATTTGTCTTTGTAGCAACCTCGCTCATTGAAAGTCCCCAGATGAACGACCGGATCTTTGGAGGAAGCGATAAGCTCCATAACCATTTCAACGCTTTAGTGGAACAATTCGGGTGATTTGGATCTTCATTCCCAAGCCTATTCATTTATGCAACTCTAAAACAATGATAAGCAGTCCTGACCAAGAAGATACCTGATTTTTCGTGGTGCCAAACTCTGGACTAATAGGGATTCTTCTGATAGCTTCCACGTCTTCCTTCGAGCAACTCTGTCTAATGATGTCCGAATTCCATTCCCATTCATCATCCATGACCCACTGGAAAGTCCATAATTGCTGGCGCTGGTTCGGTTAAAGTTTAAAATTACTGATGCCGGGAATCCACGGATCACCATGCAATGCAATAGTTCTCCCGCTTCCCATATTCTTGCTTGCCCCTAACTCCAACACCTTTTTAGCCTCACAGATGCTAGCTCAGATCCAGGATGGTCTACGATCCTTACCGGCCGCCATGAAGTACGAGTTTGGAAAATACAAGCCTTTCAAAATCTGAATTCATGTCTCTTCCCCACTCGTGAGGATCCTCAATCCTTGTGTTGCAAGCAATGTCATATTGAACTGGTGAAAGTCCTTGAATCCCAAAGGATGGAGTTGGTGGTGATATATAAATAAATAAGTGTTATGGTTCTGATCAATGATTTTGTAGCCGCAGGACTAATGAAGATGCATGCTAATGATTAATGTAAGCAATAAAGAAAGAGTGGATCATTTAAATTAATTTGTCTCACTTTCTCAAACAAAATCCATAAAATTTTGATTCTACCATAGACAAAGTTTCAAACTCCAAAATATTTTACAGGTCGTTCGTTCTCGTCAAATTAAATTATGTCGTTAAGCTATTGGTATAGCGGGGTCGTGGGCCCATGGCACCTCCTCTCCCTTCCAAAGAGAAGTTCAATGTATAATCAAATGCGGAAAAATTGTGCAGTTGATGAAGTAATATTGGTCTTTGCCCCGCTCCTCTCAGCTCAAATGGTTCAAACTTTTTAAATTTTTTTGTCTCAAATCCTATGATGAGATTCATTTATATTGTCCTTCGTCGCTCGTATTTTTAGCTATGTCCCGAAATTATATGCATCAACGTCTATTTACTTTCGTTTTTGTTGGTTTGAAGCTCTGTAAATGTGTACATAGAATTAGTTTGAAGCTCTTATAGATCCAGTTCATAATGCATCACATCGAAAGTTACCATGTTATATAAAGTTACCGCGTGGGTTCAGTTGAGATTTTACCCAATTTTACCCCTAATTATTGAAGAGGGGGGCAGTGATTGTAAGACAGCTGGTTTGCAGTTCCTACATTGCTACAAACTAGAGTTTACATACATGTATCTTCTTGGGCTAGGCTGAGGCTGACTAGGCGGTGACATATATAGGACTGCTTCAAACAGCTTCAATTCAATTTTTTATTTTTTACAGCGCATACTAGTTCAGAAAATGAAGTGCATGAAACAGTAATAGATGGAAGAGAAAGAGAGAGAGAAATGTGGATTAGAATCCCCAAGGCTGACAGCTGCCACCATCTAACTTTGTTCTGGTTCCAGATCTAATTTTTTGTGCTGCCAATGCCAAGCTTCACGCTAACACAAACAAACTGCCCCTTTACATCCTGTTCCAATTTAATAGCCCTCCATGCACAATATGTATACCAAGTAGGGCTGGGCATATTGCGGGCGGATCATCCGCGGGTTTGGGCCGACCCACCCGCATTTGATTCGAATTTGGTTAAGTGGGTGGGTCTGTGGGTGGGTGACGGGTTGCGCTGGGAGCCATCCGCCAGGTGGTGGGTGGGTTGTGGGTGAGTGTGCG